CCCCCCCAAAAAAAAAAATGTGTGGGACAAACTAATCGTTTTTATTCTGCGTTATTTTTTGGCCTCAAGACTTACCTCATGTTAAGATGTCAATCTCCTCTGGAGTGGCCCTGCTTCACCAGCAGTATTCAGTCATTTTTAAGTGTCTGATTTAATTATTTGACGGGAAATCAATTGTAAAGGACTTCGGGGTGGGGGGGTGGTCTGACTGTGTTGTCTGACTGCTGTATGGTGTATACACAGGCTTTGGTTGGCAGGGGTTGCTCAAGACTTACCTCATGTTAAGATGTCAATCTCCTCTGGAGTGGCCCTGCTTCACCAGCAGTATTCAGTCATTTTTAAGTGTCTGATTTAATTATTTGACGGGAAATCAATTGTAAAGGACTTCGGGGTGGGGGGGTGGTCTGACTGTGTTGTCTGACTGCTGTATGGTGTATACACAGGCTTTGGTTGGCAGGGGTTGGGGGGGCAAAAAAATCAGTTCGGTTTTTACCTTAAAATAGAGATACATAGTATCAAGCATAACCTTTCACTGCACTTGCTGAAGGAAAAGCGGGGGTATCAAAGTTGAAAAACAGTGTCTGTTGATGGTTAGAAAAACGGAGCAGGTGTTTTCGTTCAGCTAACTGTTCCATTAAGCAGACAGGTGAATCACTTTCTTCCCCAGTTTTCAGTCCTTTTGAGGTATGAGAGCTAGTGAATGTGCATCCTCAGGCAAACCAGGGATTTCTTGCCTTAGGGAAAAAAACAAGAGAAGAAGGTATCTTCTTACATTATAAGTTCAGATTCGGTGTCTTTTTGTTTCTCTTGTACATGCTATCTTTTAAGCCAAAAAAAAAAAGAAGTCCAAAACTGCAAACCTAATGGTGTGTTATTTGGTTGCAATGAAAGTCGCACAGCTTTAATGGAGCAAGTCAAAATTAAATGCCTGCATATAATTGGTAAGATGGACTCTTGCAATTATCTTCAGAATTATTAATAATGCTGTTTTAGTATTGAAATGTTTCATATGAAAAGCACACCATTTAATTGGTTGGTTACACATCACATTAAAAGGAGAGTTAAACTAACCTTAAGTGGTGTAACCAACCAAAACACTGGAGCTTTGTGCTTGTGCAGGAGAAACAGAGCACCGACTTAGGGATACAGACCGGCATGCTGTGTGACTCTGTGTGAGCCAACTGAGTGCTATGGTTTCTGTATCTGAAGAAGAGTTGAAATAGCCTATACGGCTGGAGTATTACTTCTTGAATATTTATTAAGTGCTCATGGTAGGGAAGTAGTGTTCTTATGCTACAGTAGCGGGGGGAAACTGTTTTAATGATTTGAACAGCATAAAATGTAGAAAATAAACCGCATACACAAAATAGATTATTAATACTCAGTGTATTATTAGAAACACAAATTTATTTGTGTCCTTTTCAGACCTACTGGGAAGCTACCCACTGAAATGACAATATGGTTAAGTGTTTGGTTCCCATGATACACAGTGTTTTTCTGTAACATTCTCAAAATTCTTCACTGTATAGCAGAACTTGTTGACAAGCTGGCTGTTAAAAGGAGCATATTGTATTAATATGCAGTTTCTTCGAAAGTACTTTGAGCTGAAAGATGTATAAAATGCTGTTTCAAATGAGACTTGTAATCTCCAGGACAAAATGAATGATTCTGAAGTATTATGTACTTACTCTCTATCTTTTTCCATTTTCAAATGGCATCTAAGGAACTTGAGTATTTTTATAGAATTAGCCTCAATTTTTTGACAAAGTGTTATTCTGTTTTTACAGATGGGGAACTGAGGAACAAAGAAACGTCAGTCTTACAGAGTCTATATCCCCAAAGTTGGAATAAAAGCCTAATCTCTTAAACCCCAGTCCTGCCCAGTATCTGTAAAACAAACCTTCCTGCAAGATTAGATCAGGGAGCTGAGAAGGAGGACTCCTGAGTATAACTCCTACTATACAAAAATACTATGGGTTTACTTTCTTAAATCCATTTTCCATCTTCATCATCTTCCTCTAAGGGTTTTTTTTTTTTTTTAATGCAGCATAGGATGTTAATAACAGAAAGCTAGTATAACTAGCTGGACCCTGCATGAACAGTCTCTGATAAGGCAAAACAAATGTTGGGTTATCCGAATACATCTCTTGTAAAATAGTCACTGAAACAACCAAATTGCTATGAAGATCTGGGATACTACTTAACCCTAAAAATGTGATCATCCCCAGTTTAATGATCTGGCCCCTAAAGATAACAGTAAGCCATATTCCTGCCTTGGCACTAACGTTTGACATGTGTAGCTTTCAAACCACATGTTAAATTATGTAACACAGCATATTATTCAAGAAAAGGTTATAATGTGGCATCTTGGTTATCAAGCTTGTGGTAACAGGAAATTTCCAGGGATCCCTTTAAGCTCTCTGATATCCTCAGTGAAAAGAAGGGTTTGTAAAAGCTTTGTCGTTAATTGCAATACATTGCAAATACCACGTTCTTGAGACAGGTTCTCATTTGAATCGACCTTTCTCCAACAGAAGTTTCCTACCACCCCTTCTTAGGGAAGATAGTTTCTGGAGAACATATCTTTTATAGTGAATTGGTCTTGAGAACTCGGCGTCTGCAAAATGATTCTGCTGCTACAGTAGTCAGTGCTGCCTGCTGAGAGAATACAGAACATCCTGAAGGTAGTTGTTGAGGCATTTTCTATTTCCATTTCTCTGTATCTTTTTTTCCAAACAAGCATTGTATTTTCACTAGCCTAGACTTGTTTTCAGCTTGCCATTCCATCTTGTCTAATGTTGTGATTCATTTCAAGTTGGTTTGGCAAATACTGAACGTTCTTCTCCTTGAGGGATAACCTTACAGCTTACTGTAGTGCTGGATTGCTCTCTGTGTCAGATACATCCCCCGTGTACTGGTGATTGTTAAAAGCTTGCAGGGTGCTTTTCGGCTTAGCTGGCAGAGTTTGTTCGATGGTAACAAAAAGCAAGGCACTTGGGAAAACTTTCCTGGCAAGTGATGAGATGGAAGCCTACCAAGTACAGGACAGCAGGAAACTTCAAACTTGGAAGTGGAGATGTGGTTTTATCAATATACAAATTCTATTTGTCTTTTACGTAGGGAAATGATGGAGGGTTAACTTTTGCAAATCAGCAGAGCAAACCTTGCAGTCCCTGCTTGCTCATTAGGAGAGGGAACTAAGAAGACGTTACCCACCTGACGGGGCTAGCAACTGTTACAGGTCACGTAGTTTTAGTGTGTTCAAGGAAGCTTGCTAGCTTCTGTGTTTCTGGCTTGGCCTCTGTGTTGCTGCTGAGAGGGACCTGAGCTACTCTGGGAGGCGACTGGGTTTTTTTTGGTTGCTTTGTTTTGTTCCACTAATTAAGGGTGTTATCCTCTTCCTCCTTACACTCCCCCAAAATAAAAGTTTTCTATGACAAATACAAACTGTACAGGCTTTTGCAAGCAGGCATGTTCTACAGAAACAGTCGTCTTTGACTATACAGTTGTATCCTAGTTTTGCGCTGCTGAAGTTTTATTGTCAAGAGAAGGCTCTGAGCATTTTCCCACGGTACATATTCATCTCTTTGCAGGTGTTGCTAGAGGTCCTGATTCTTGTTCCTAGTCACAGAGATTTTCTTTTTGAGAGCAAAGGGAAGTATTATATCACCTGGTCTGAGCTGGTTATTATAGGCAATTTAATTCCATCCAGTTACCTATCTTGATCATAGTATTTTTTATTTTCATGATGCATAATGTACTTTTATAGGTGCATAATGGGGCTGGGAGTTCTTTTTCTTCAAAACAAAAAAGCACCTGGTCTTGCCCTCGTAATCATCAAGAAATATTGATGAACTGTCCTGTTTTCTGTCTGATTCTTGCCAATCTTGAATCTCGAAAGGGGTGAGATATTTCAGCATACGACTTGAGTATGTCTGGGTTACTTTTACCGTCAGCATTTGTCATTCGTGAACTTTAAATACGTCATGGAATACATCCACTAGAACTGAAGAAAGTGGGAATGCTGCTAAATGCAATAGCGTGGAAATGCCCATAAAATTATTTCAATGTGTGAATTGCAAAGAAAAAGCTTATTTGTAAGCATTAGGTATTACCTTTGTTATGTGTGGTTACTACTTTTTCCTCTTTAGTGCAGCTCCTTTTAGTAAAGTAAGCTAAGTCAGAGTATGCTGTTTGTTGTTCCAGGTAGCATTTCACTGGGGAATCACAGAATCACAGAATCGTTTAGGTTGGAAGGCACCTCTGGAGATCATCTAGTCCAACTGCCCTGCTCAGCACATTGTCATCTAGAGCACATTGCCCAGGATCACATCCAGACGGGTTTTGAATATCTCCAGGGAAGGAGACTCCACTACCTCTCTGGGCAACCTGTTCCAATGCTCTGTCACCCTCACAGAAGAAGGTGTTACAGTTGTTTTTACTTGGTACAACTGGAGTGCCTATTTCTCTACTCATTGATGCATGGGTCAAAAGGGATTCTGCTCCCCGTCGGACAAGAATGTCCTGTAGCTACATTCCCAACTAAGGAATGATGAGAGCGGTAAATTAATGAGGCCACTTTTTGCTCCCACAGGTGGTTTACTCACTTTTATGCTGTTTCTGTGCTCTGGAATGGCTTTCTGCTGATTTGGCTTATCCAACCTCAGTTCCTAAGAGGATCTCTCTCATCGTGGCTTCAGCACCTGCACCATGCTCTTGGCAGAGCTTCACAGAACGAGGACATGGGCAAGTATTCCAGATACCATGAAGCAGCCATACGAACATTAGAAAGCAGTACCACCATCCTTTGCTGAATTTGTATTCTTCATGTGCTACTTCATCAGCTACTCCTAAACTAGGCTCCAAATGTCCTTCCTGGAATACCAACTCCCTTTGTCATTATTCAAGGTAGAAATCATTCTAATTTACGAATATAATAGCTTCCAGCAGTGCTTTAAGTAGACAGGGCCATTAGCACCTTCTAGAAGTAGTCTTGCTCAGTCACTGTGGTCAGCAGTGTCTCAGATGTACACGTTTTTCCCAGCGGGTAAATATGAGGTAAAAATTGGGTAAGGTTTTGCTGTGAGAAGGGGGAAATTAGCCCTTTCGGAGCAGTGTTGATGTTAGATTTGTACCTACCTGTCCCTAAGTCACTACTTTTATCTGCAAGTAGATAGTGAATACTCCTCTGCGCTCTTGGTTCTCCTGCTCCTTTGGCTGCACAGCTTGCGAAGACTTGCAGAATGCCTCTGTATCAGTGTGTTTTCCAATGGCGTCATTCATATCGGGCAGTATTGCTTTGGACTTGGTTACTACATTGCTGTTGGCTTAACTGTGCTATGTCAAGTGCCTGCCAATTTCAGGAATGGTAAGTGCCTGCTTAGTTACTACCCAAGATGCATTTTTTGCTCCCATTTGTTGCCATCATAGCACATGGTTTGTGCAGTTTCGTAGAGGGCTTATGTGACAAGTGTGTTAATTGATGAGATATAAAAATACTTACTGACATAGTTCAAATTAATTAAATTTTGGTATATCATATAATCACGCAGGCGTGTTTCCCTGCACTCCTGATATAGACAAAAATGCACACACAATATATAATTCTGTGTTAATCACCACTATTATTCTCCCCCACCACCAAAATACCACTCTAGATACTTTCAGGATCCTTACAGATCTATTTTGCCATTGAAATAGTTCTGCTTTATGCTTTATGAAGGGAAGTAATAGAGGTCATTTCTCAAATACTCCAGTTTTCACTGAAGTGTACTATGGAGTATGCAACTCCAGTTGTCAAACTGGAGGTTCATTTTTGTCATGACTTCTTTCTGCCAACATATTTCACTGCATCTCACAATTGAGCTGGTATTTCTCTTCTGCACAGATAGACCATGAGCTGAAACATTTCAACTGGTTGTAGCACTTCTCCCATGATTGATTTTTTTTTTTTTGAGGTAGTCCTTACAAAGTATGTAATTTTCATGAAGTTTTTAACCACCTCTAAGCATCTTGTATCAGCTCTAATATTCTATAGTGATTTTTAAAACAAGCTTCAGATGTCGTGTGTGTAAATGAAGCCTTTTTTTAAATCTGGACCTCCTTTCTACTTTCCTGATTTTTCTCAGAGATGTTATACATTGACTTGTACATTGGAACCCATCCTTAATACAGAGTTTTCTTGAAGACCAAAGTGGTTCACTCTCTGTGTGTGTGTGTGTGTGCGTGCACATGCACGCATATCACTTTCTGTGACCAAGATAAACAGTTGTGTAGTTATATATTGACCTGCGACATGACAGCATTTTTTATTATGATAAATATTATAAACAGTGTTGAATACTGAGGTCTTAGACTATCAATTATGTATGTTAAATTTCATAGTGTACCTCAAACTACTGGATTGGGAACTAAATATTTGACATTTTTAATATAGAGTGCTTAAAGAAAAGAACTGTCAGTTAAGCATTTAAGTCGCACAGGATTTGAAAGCATCTTTCCAGGGATTAAATATTCACTAGTAGAAGTTGAAGGCAATAACATTTATCGTATATGTACAGTGTTTTGGGATGATGCTTGGGAGGGTATTTCCTGGCCCTTTTATTAATGAAACATATTTAATTCAGGAGAAGAACTTTCTGTGCAGATCTGCTGGTATCACATCATAGGAATTGTGATGTACATTTGGGCCTCTCTTCACCAACACAGATGTCTTGTGATTCTAGCTAATCTTAGAAAAAACAAATCGGGTAAGGTGTTTCATTTCTGTGAGCCATTTACTTAGGTAAATTTTGCAACTTAAAAAATGGATGTTGCAGTAGGCTTCTGTATCTAATACCTTGAAACACTTGTATTTTTCAGTTACTGAAGTTTAGCTCTCTGTAAGACTTTCAGTAGGTTAAATGACTCTATTTGCACTCAATCCTCTAATCTCTTTTCCAGAGTGTGTATGTGTTCATGTATATATAGTTTTATAGGACTTGTATAAATAAAGGTCTAGTTTCCAGTATCCCAAAGACAAGTAGTAATTCTTAGGGCTTATGTCACTCCTCTGTTGAGAACTCACTTCTCTATGTGAACTAAAAATAGATTTCCTTCATCTGTGTTTACACGCGCAGCCAAAGCTAGTGTCTTACTTTATTAAGAAGTGCAAAGTTGCCAGATCAGATGGAGGTGGATGATGATGATAATTTTAATGAGGATGCTGTTGTGTAATTATAGATAGAAAAGTTCGCCATGCGGGCTGTTCTCAACTAACTTATCTTTCAATTTGCTTGCAGGAAAGGTCATAAATCTGAGCCACAGTATACCTTTTGGAGACTGGTTTGAGAGAGTTTCTTGCCCTCATTATTTTGCAGAACTCCTCGTATATATATCTATGGCCATCACACTTGGATTTCACAATGTGACATGGTGGTTTGTAGTGATGTATGTTCTTTTTAACCAAGCACTGGCTGCTGTATTGTGTCACGAGTTCTATCAGAACAAATTTAGCTCCTACCCAAAGCATCGAAAAGCGTATATACCATTTGTTTTCTAGAATATTTATTTTAGATATCTTTAGTACAAACTGGGAAATATTTCTATAAGGGAACAAGAGATTGATGATTTAGTAAGGCCAGGATAAATTATCATTAAAGCCATGAGTTTCTAGGCTAGAATTAGAGAAAATGTGTTAATCTTTTCTGTGTTACTCATG